TAAACTTGATTTTTTTTTTTTTTTAATGTTGAATTTCACGTGTGTAATAAATCAGTATTGTTTTGTTTTTTCTGACTTCAATTTTTTTTTTTAATTTCTATATTAATATGAGAGAAAAAAGAAATTGAGCGACAATCATTCCAAATAATTTTTTTTATTTTTTGCATCGCAATTTGATTAGTAGCGAGATGAGAAGCGAAAAGACGTAAAACAAAAGCAAACTTTATGCCCCCATATAAAAATGTCAGTTTAAATTAGCAAGTAATAGACACACTACATACAGACAAGCTACACCCTAAACTTTGATTTTATTAGAACAATGTGTATCTAAATTTGATGTATAGCAACAGTTATATTTTTTTGTTATATGGTTCTTAAGATACTTTAATAAATCAGTCAACTGCCTGAACTCTTGCTGTTTATATGAGATAAAGATAAAATGAAAAAGGCAAGTTGTTTGTACAGCCAAAAATAAGCTTCTATATATTATCATGGTGGCCACAGTCCTGGAATGTCCTGGATTTTTGCAAGTGTCCTGGGATGTCCTGAAATGTCCTGGAAAATTAGATTTTTTTCAAAAATGTCCTGAAATATCCTGGAACATTTTTTTTTCTGAGTCAAGTTAAAAAATTAATAATAATATTGAAGTAATATTAAATGTGTTATGCGAAAAATTTTTTTATAAAATTGGTTTGAATTTAATTTTAAATTAAAGAGTAATAATAATATAATAGTATAAATTTGTTTTCTATAATTCAATCAATATGAAAAAATATAACGTAAAATAATTGATAATATTCATTTAATAAGATATAAAATGTCCTGGAAAACTCAACAAAATGTCCTGGAATGTCCTGGAATTTTACTTTTGAAATTTTGTGGCCACCATGATTATATTTAAAGAAACTGAGTCAAAATAACACAATATAAAGCTCTATTGTGTGTGTTTCTTCACCTTTTAGTAAACTTGGTCTTTTCATTTTCATTTTCATGGTACATGTTGTAAACTTGCAGCTGATATAAAATTTTTAAACATGTAGACAGATGAATATGAGTATTATTAACAAACCCTGTCTTTGTGAGTGGATACAAGTTTCCTGCATGTTCTTTTATTTTATTATTATAAGCAAATGAGAAATAGAAATTTAATGATGTGATATTCTTTATGAATTTTAAAATAAATAATTATTTTTGCTTTAAATAGCTCAACACTTTTTTTACTGATTTTTCATAAAATAAAAAAACCTAGGAGTCTTTTGAAGATAGTGTCCGTTTTTAGTTTGATTTATAGACATTTTTTATTTCAAAATTTTTTTTTGTTTTAAAATGTTACAACAACTTTAAAGCTGCACTTAAACTACTAATTTTTTTTTGAAGTTAAACATTCTTAATTGGTGGATTTAAATAATAAATAATGCAATTACCTTATAAAAATTCAATAATTATAACAATAACATAATTTTTTTTACCATTTAAAATCATTTTCTACATAAACGCCTTTAATACCTTTTCTATGTTTATAACATGTGATGTTGCACTGCAAACTTCTGCAACATCACAGAGTTAACTTATCATTGTTAAATCCTTCTCTTTTTTTTTAAACTTTCGAACTTGTCTTTTGTAAGTTCACCCCATAATCATATTTCTGATTCTATTGTTTGCATTTGTAATTACAAATTTATTTTTTATCTTCCAATATTTTTTCCTTAGTCGTCATTTATAATATAATATTAATATAATAATAATATTATAATATAATAATAATAACACCCTATAAATATAATTTCGGACAAATTTTAATTGTATTTATTGTGTAATTTATTTCATGCACACACAGTTTATTTCATGCACACAAAAAACCTTTATACTTATTTGATAATCTATTTAAATTTAGTTTAATTAAGTTGAAAATATTATTTAAATATTGAAAATAAAATGGTCAAAGTAAAGGAACTCAAAACAATGATGGAAATTTTTTTCCTAAAAAATAGAGAAAAAAGTAAAGCGTTTGTTGCTAAGCAGTTTATGGAATGGGGTTTACCCAGATCATTTGCTTACGATAAAATCGTAAAATTGGAGAATGGATCTCTAAAAAGAAAAGTTGGAAGTGGTCGAATTGCTAAGGTAACTACTAAAGAAAATACTCCAAAGATTGCTGCATTTTTTGAAAATAAGTCAGGGTGCTCCTAAAAGAAAGTAGCTCAGGTTTTTAACTGTAGTCTCGAATTTCCCAAGTATAAAAAACAATGACTAACATTCGAACTTTCAAAAAAAAAAAATTGTCCAAGATCCTAGCCATGAGCAGATGAAAGCTATGCGTCCTAAATGTCGTAAATTGTACAAAAATTATAAAAACTTTGATTTTGTTATGGATGATGAAAGCTATTTTATCTTAAACAATACCAAATTAGCTGGTAATGATAGGTTTTATGCCACTGATCTTTCTCAATGTTCTGACAAAGTAAGATACAATTTGCATAAAAAGTACGAGGACAAACTCTTAGTTTCTTGTTGCATCAGCCTCCGTGGAATAAGCCCTCTTTATATTAATCACAGTAAGCAGGTAATTGAAAAAAAATCAAAGTTGTACCCAAAGATATAAACATAGCTAACATTCCAGATTCAAGACCATTTGAAAACTTTTGGGGTGATTTAAAACGGCTAGTGTACGAGAATAATTGGAAAGCTGAAAATTTGAAAGAACTTGAAGCAAGAATTAGATATTGCTATTCAAAGATGAATAAAGAAATTTTCCTTACTCAAATAAAACATCTTTCAAACAAAAATTTTAATATTGCTAAATATGGTATTTGAAATAATTATTTTATTATATTTATAAACTACATATACTAACATATTAACAGTTGAAATATTAAATAATAAAACTTATTAGTTCTTAAAATATTATTTTTAAATTTTGTCCAAAATTTTATTTATGAGGTGTTATTATATTATTAAACATGTAGTAACTTTATAGTGGTTGTAACCTTGCAGTTGAATTTGTAACTTTGCAGTTGCAATTTTCAAATGATTTTATTTGAATTTTGTATGATAGTTTATAGAAATTTCATATGATAATATATAATTTTATATGAGTGAATGTTTCGTAGTTTAAGGAAAGTTTGTCTATAGTGATTTAGGAAGTGACCAGAATCCTGGCGCCGGCCCAGGCTAAAATTAACACATTTTGCAAACCCAGCCCCCGTAAAATTATAAGATTTAGCAGGGGTTGATAGCAAGGGCTAGAAAAAAATTTGTAATACTTCATTTATTAAAATTTCATACTTACCTTTACTATTTATTAAATACTGACATATATTTATATATTTTTAAACTCTTATTTACTTCCAACAAAGATGCAAGCAACCACTATTAAGTTATGAGTTACTTTAAAATAGAGTATAGGGTTAAAAAGCTAGGAAATGGCCCCAGCTATATTTTATCAAACCCGACCCCATTTAAATCTCAACCCCCGTCGCTCCCTAATGTGCGCCTGTTTGATATGGATCAAGGGTTTGTAAGTAACAGTAAACAGATGGCAATGAAGGGTGTACAGTTGTGAACAGTGTGATATTTTTGTCATCAAATGTTTGTAAATAAAATTTTATTTATTTACAGAGTATTTTAGTCTTTCAAATAATGTTATTGCAATATTGCACTATTAAATAATGCATTACTCAAAAAAATTATTTGAAAAATAAATCAAATTTAAGTCACTTATTTTTTGCGCATCATAATTCCATCTTATTGAACCGCTGAGATGACCAGATGCCTTAAAACAATAAAAACCTTTTACAAAATAAATGCATTTTATTTAATTAGTACTAAAAAAAATATAAAAGTAAAAAATAATTATAACATAATATAAAAACCTGAATTATTAAACAAATATGAAACAAATTATAACAATCATGAAATAAGTTTTTGGAGTTTTTATGTTTAAAATAATTTGAAGTTATTAATAATATTAATAGTTAAGTTAACAAGAAAAACAAAATTTCTTATCTATGCAGAAAAAATGTATTCTCTTGTCTTAGAGTGAATTTAGGGTGAATCTTGTCTTAGAGTGAAGAGTGAAATGTATTCTCTTGTCGTAGAGTGAATTGTTTATGTATAAAAATTTAGTGAGTAAAAATTAGAAATAGCTTTTTAATAAATATTCGCATCTCTTAACATCATTCGCATCTTGAATCATCTCTTAACATCATTAATGTTATTAAATAACTATAACTATTAAAATGTTAGCAACATCATCCATAAAAATGTTAGCAACATCATCTATAAAAATGTTAGCAACATCATCTTCAAAAATGTTAGCAACATCATCCATAAAAATGTTAGCAACATCATCCATAAATGTAATTAAATAACTATAACTTAGCAGGTATACAAATTATTTTATTGCTCACATTAAATATGTAATTACTAGTAGGATGTTGTACAAGATTTATGGAATTAAAACTTTCTTTAATGCTGCTTCTTTTTTACAAAAAGATTTTTTTCTTCATGCTGATTTTCAAGATTAATTAAATTATACACAGATTATTAACAGGTTGTTAACAAATAGTGATAAATATTGTTGAACTTATAAAAGTACATTTTATTTTAGAATCGAGAATATTAGTTTTATTGCTCTTGCTGAAAAACGGATTATATCCTCATAGGAACCTGTTTGTTCTAGGCATAGCCTAGCTACCTTCCCTTCCTCTGAGATCACGCATCAATTAGGAAACTATCTTGTTTTATTTGTTGTTGTTTTATTTTTTATTCTATTTTATCGTTCAATTATGTTCGTAAGTCTATTACATGCAGTATATAGATATACTTATAACATAACTAGCTTACCTCTAAAAAGCTTACAATTATTTGAAACTTATATGTGAATATAATGATATGCGAATTAATTTTGTTTATTTGATGTGAAGATTATTTTGCCCAATAGTTTTTATTTTTTTTAATGATTATTTTATTTTAAAGTTTTATTTTTTTATTGTTATAAGGGAAAGATGGAACTTGAAGAGATGCATGCTATGTGGAAACAAAGAAGCCATGTAATGGTTTACTTTAATGAGAACGAAATCCCCGATCGTCCCAAAGATTTCTTAGCTAGATTTTATGCAGGATATGATTAAGTGATATGAATGGATGTTGTATATATGCATAGTTAATGATAAAACAGTAAACAAAATTTAATCGCTGACATTATCTTTTATCATAATCGAGGCGGGTATATGCATACGCTATGCAGGTTAAATAAACTTAATTAGTAATTGCGATGTAATGGCTCGCATATGCGATTAAAGTGTAATGGCTCGCCTTTGCGATTGAAGTGCGTTTTTAACCCCATCTCTTAGTTATTCATGTTTAGATCTATTTTTACTATTTTTGTTTATTTTGTGTTTTTTTACCAACTCTTGTCAACAATTTTTTTTCAAGTATATTAAACTTTGCTAATATTACAGATATATTAAGAGGTAGACCACTAAGATTAAATTAAACCTTTTACTAAGGCTTACTCAAATCCTTAATTAACACTTACTCAAATTCTTTATCAATTACATTTCAAAAATAATTTACAGTGATTAAAATTCACATATTGACAAATTATAAAAATCTTGCAATTTAAAAACATAGTACCGGAAACCCAAAATTACGGTCATTTTGTTGTGGTTAGTACCTCAAAATTATAAAGAGTTGCCGAGGTAAGTAAACCGATTTTTCTTAATATTAGGGGTGTCCGCAACTGAATATCCAGTCAATAAAGATCTATTGCTCAATATATCTTCTTTTACTGTAATGTACTTTTGTACTCTAAGAAAATTTAGATGCATCTGGAATCTTAATATGAAAAATGGTGTTAAGATGTCTCCTGCTGCATTGACAGTAGCCAGGTATGTTGTTAGTGTGCTACGTTCACTAATAGCTAACTTTTTTACCTCACGAGAGCCCTTTACATAAAGCCAATTTGCACAGATGAAGGGCTGCTTTCATCACAATTATAAACCAAATATTATATAGTTATTATTTACTATATATACATTTTAGTCTATAAATTATAATAAGCTTGTTTACAAGTTTTACATCAGAGTCGCGTTTATAATTAAAACTTCAAAAAGTTTTAAAAGATTACTGTAAACTAATATATTTTGAAAAGCCTATCTCTTATAGATAAAATCTAAAATCTTATCTCTTACCCTATTTTGTATAAACGTAAAATGTTCAAATGTACCGCGTTGAGGTACCCTGATAAATCATAATTATTTCCATATTAAGAAAATAATCTCTTTAATAAGGGTCTGGTGGTGCTAATGGTTTTAAAGCTTGTTCGTTACTTTATAGCTTTCAACGGAGAGATATGAATATTATTTCTTTTAAACCTATATATAAAGGCGAAGATCAATAAAAACTCCTTACAAAACTTCCAAGATTTTTTAAAATATAACGTTGGTTTGGATCTTATAATTCAATAGAATAAATGAATAGATGTCTATGAACTATTTCTTAAGTTTTTTGTGAGCAATATAAAGAAGCATTTCCTGAGAAAAAAATTGTTTACCAAAATACCAAGTTAAATACCAAGTCACGTCAAGCTTCTAGGATGTCTAAATATTTAATTAAATTCTAAAAAAAAGTATAGCTGAAAATATAAAGAGCTGAAATTATAACTGAAAATATAAACAGCTTCTTTTTTAATATTGTTCCAAATTTAGCTTAAAAAACTCCATCTTTATTGAAAACCGTATGATAAGGTCATGAGCAAATCTAAACTGGATGTTAATGAGTTGCGATCTGCTCTAGATAATATTAAAAGTTTTTATAATATTAGCCTAAATGCTTTAAATCAGATTTACATATTATAGAAACCTCTTAAGCCTTAAGGAACTCCACATCATGTGGAGTTCTTTAAGGCTTAATCTTAGGGCAGTTATTGTTTTCTCTTTATATAAATAATTTATCTCTTATCTCAAACTTATTAAATTTTATTTCATTTGCGGATGACTCTAATCTGTTTTATTCTCATAGGGAGATTAAAACCCTCTTTAAAGTAACTATTGAAAAAGTAAACAAAGTAAGCAAATAGTTTATTTGTAATGAACTTTCACTTAACGTTAACAAAATTAAGTTTATTCTATTTCACAAAAAACCAAAGCAGGAAACTTTTTTTTTAAATTACCCAATTTTAAAATGAATGATATAAATATTACTAGACAAACATCTGTAAACTTTTTAGGTGTTATTTTAGACAAAAATTTATGATAGAGGAATCATATAAACACTCTTGAAAAAAAACCTTCTTGCTTTATACATCATTGCAATAAACATTGCAATGACGTATAAAGCAAAACTATTTTTAGGTCTTTAAAAAGTTTACACTTTTCCTTTATACATAGTTTTTTTAACTTACAGCTATATTGTATGGGTATGTACCAGTTATGCTAAGTTAAAAAAATTTATTCTAAACAAAAACATACATATAGAATTGTATTTGGAGAAACAAGAACTGTGTCGTATGCAGCCCCGCAGAGAGCCATAATTTTAGACGGTGCAAGAGATATTTTGGGCCCTTTACCCATAATTCTAATATTTTAAACTATTACTGTATGCTTTTGCTGAATCAATTATGGTTTAATTCCACATTGGTTTTTGAAATCGGCAATTGTTCACAATGAGGATGCAATCTTGCTTTACAGTTTTATTTTTAGCTACAATTATTTAATTTACTAAAGAATATTACTTTAAAGAATAATTATTAACTGTTTTGAATTGTTGTTTTGTTTTTTTATGTAATTAGTTTTTCTTTCATTATTGGATTAAAAGATATTTCTGAAATAAAAATTCAGACTATTTGTTGCGTTTCAACCATGTTCAATAATACAATAATCAATCTCAACAAATATACAAGTACTAATAAAAACAGAATTTTAACAAACAGTTTATTCCAAGAATAGTTCATTCACAAAACAAAGGTGCTCTTCTTGCTTTTTTTGAAGCGAAATTTCGAATAACTTTGTCAAAATCAATTGACCTAGATATTGAAGATTCCAGACTCAACATTGCCAAATCCACTAACCGTCCTTGTAGCATTGTAGTTCTTAAAAAGTTTTTAATCAGTTTTAGTTTGCTGAATGAGCGTTCAGCGGACGCGACTGTAGCAGGAATTGTTAAGAATATTCTCAAGCATACACAAATATTTGGAAATAGGCCATGTAAATTAGTTCGACTAATCGAATTTAGGAGTTCAAAGGGGCTTAATTGATTCGACCCAAAATTTGAATAATGTAAAGATTTTAACTGTTTTATTTCCATAACAATATCTTTTCTAACATCTGCTGAGTACTCTTCACTTAATAATTTTGCTTTCATTTCCAATGTATCCAAATCAATATTGAGATAATATCACATGAAGCTAAACTTATCTGAAATGCTCTGTGCTGCTTTGAATCTTACAGTAAGGCCACCAATAACACTATCTAATACCACATAGGAAACAAATCTTCTAAAGCATGATTCCTCCATGGTCTCATCTTTTTTTAAAATCTGTAAACCCTTGATCCTCTGGCTCGCCAATAACTCTGGCTCTTTTGCGATTTGCACCAACACGTCCTCTTGATAGTTTGACTTCTATATCCAAATTCATTGCAACATTCTTTGATTCTTACCAGATATCTTTCCATTTATTCCGAAGCTCAAGAAGTTGTCTCAGTAAGTGGTTTATGTTGTCCACTTCCACATCTAAAGTTGCATTTCTTGCTTGAATAACTTTGTTGCAAAAATCAATCGGAACAAGAACTTTGTACCATATCAATGACATTATTATGCAGGAAAATGAATTAATACAATATAAGGCACCTCCTACTTCAGCTTTTGTTTTAGAAGTCAAATTTAATCAGTAGATTATAGTACTTTAAATTAAAATACTATAATCTACTGATTCATTAGATTATAGTACTTAAATCTCTAATTAGAATTTAGATTGTATAAATCTAGCTAGAAATTTCTCCTTTTTTTCTCTGTGTGCCTCTTATTTTTGCTTTATCTAGTTCAGTTCTAGTTAGGTTCTCTTTAGAATTTTTCAGTGGGACCAAAATATGCCCATCTTTTAAGTGTATGAATATCTTTTTCTAAATGTGCAAAATATGCGTTTTTTAAGTATGTCACTAATAAATTTTTGTAATTATTATTGTAATTATTTTAAAAAAAAGCTTTGGTTAATGGACCCCAATTGTTCTATAGGCCCTGGAGCAGTGCACCGCCTGTACCCCCCTCTCAGTAGGCCTGGTCGTATGAGCCACTTCTACATAAACGCAATGCATTAAATGTGTTTAAAATCAACATGTTCTCACTCATACAGTTCATGTATAAAATAAAACACGGACTGTCTCCAACGATATTTTATCCTTATTTTAGAAAAATAGGCCAAAAATACCCTACCAAGCTTTTAGAAAATAATTTTGTAACTAAAAATAAAGTCTAAAATTGTGCTCTTAATCTATTCAGTACTGGGGACCTGTTTCGTGGAAAAATTTTTAGCATATTGATAATACTGGGTAATTTTGCACAACTGTGGGTAACATTGCACAACCAAAGTAAAAAATATTTTATTTTTAAGCAGTTAGAAATTTAAACTACAACTGCAAACACTTTTAAAGTCACCTGTATATTCTTGTTTTAATACAAAAATAGTGTAAAATAGTCATTTTAACGAGATTTTTTTCTACACAATTTTATTTAAAAAGCCGCGCAAATAGTTTCTTTCAACTTTTATCTGTTAAGCAGATCAGAATTAGTCCCTAAGGTGAGAAAATGGCATAACATGCTCATCATTATATTAGTTTGAATTATTCTATGTTTTAATGTGATTGTCGGTATTGATGAATAAATATTACCAGTTTTGTAATTAAATTACTATTTTGGGCTAAATTGGGATAACTTTGCACATTGTGCAAAATAACCACAACTGTCTTTAATCATCTAAAAACAATACTTTTTAAATCTTGAAGTAAATAGTATATGTAAGCAAAGTTGTTACATATATTTTTAATGTTTTGAATAATTTTTTATTTAAATAAAAATTACATTAATGTTTTTTCCAGATGTTAAGTTGTTAAAAAGCCAAAGAATATAAAGATTATACAAATAATAACTAATCCAAATGTCTTGAAGAGGTAAAATGTAAAAAGCTGACACAAAAG